CTTGAACTTCATTCATTTTGCTTTAATTATTTGGCATTCTGCCCTGAAAGAGGAAGGATTTCTTTCTCTTTCAACCTATTTTCTCAGCAGAAGTTCTGAAAACCTGCAATTGTGTATTGCTCTCACATTAGGGGCTTGTAAGACTGTTGGACTTTAAAGTATCAAACTCTTGATTCATGTAAAATGGCTCTGAATAGTTTCTCAGATGTTCAACTGACTTGCCTGAAACAAATGTTTGCCCCCCTCCTCCCCATCCACTCCTTCCACCTCAGCCAGCCAGACAATCATCTCTGGAGGAAATGAGCTCTCACACATCTTTACAAACCTCTGTGACAAGGCAGACCTTTCTCCACAGGAATCTCTAAAAATTGCCACAATGGAAGTAATAACCATATGAATATTTGTCAAACTGATAATGTCACATTCACCTTACAGCATCAGTTGTTTTTTTCTGTGACTGAAACTTGCTACAGGAACTGGAAACATTTGATGTACGTGCTTGGTATAGAGTACAAAATCCAAGATTTAAGACAGTGTTTGTGGATGTGCCAGTCCAGGTTCTCTTCAGAATGTTTTCTGGCAGGCACAGTAAATCCACTGCCTTCTGTGAATGCTGTATGCCACAGTGGGTACTTGTGAAGCTGAAATTCAAGAGTCTCTTGTGGTTAAAGGCTACACTGGTCCCTCCTACACTCATTTTAGAACTAAACGTGTCCATTACTGACCAGCAGAAAAAAAGGACAAATTCTGACTTTGAAAATCTGAAATGGGATAGCCTCAGTGGCTGAGACTCAGCTTTTTAGGAGTAGTTATCTTAAGGCTTTAAGTTTCTCTACAGTTATTGATCTGAGGACTTTGGCACAAGTAGTGCACATGTCAGATTGTTTTCCTTCCTCCATGTATTTTGGCAAAGTCTTCCCTGTAGAGGAAATTAATAAATTTCAGGGTGACATTTCCTTCTTCATCTAAAAGAGCAAGAAAAAAATCCCAAATCTCTGGGTGAATTCTTACAATTTTTTTCTTTTATTTTTATTATTTTTAGAAAATGATAAAGATATTTTGTCAGAGAAATAAAATCCAAGCAATTTCCCAATTTGTGTGATCAATCTTCATGGAAGATCAGTGAAATGCATGCTGTGTGTGTGCACATGCATTCACACATTTGAGTACCTAGGATGACTCTGAGTGTGTCTATAGATGAAGTTACAAATTTAGAAAACTTATAGAAATTTACTTAAAAGGGAGCTGCAAGCACCTGGAGTACAGAAGGGCTAAATAAAACCCCTACAAAAAATAGCACAGCTTATCCTGCAACTTACGGGCAGACTATCAACAACTTGAGCTAGGAAGAAAAACTATTTCACCTTCATTTTGATTGTTTGCTTTCTTGTATATGACAACAAGTCAAGAGAGTTTCAGTAAAAGAAGGAAAAGTGGTTTTCAATGTGGAGCCTGCCTTCAGATTCCATATGAATGAGCAGCAATCCACAGTTGCTGGACTGTGCACCATCACAGCAGACAACACATTTCATTATTTCCACCATTGTGTTTTGGGGGATTTCCCACTGAAGGGTCTGACACTGCCCTCAGTCAGAATGAGGGGACTTGTCCGGGTCAGTTATTGATCTTGGACTGTAGATTGTTCTTGTACAAAAACAGAACCCAGGGTTTATTTCTCATTTTAGAAAATTTCTATGTGAAACACAAGTCTATTCTATCTAATTTATCCCCAGAGTTTTTTAGTGATATGATAAAATACATTCTGTAGACTAAAATTTTTTAATTCTTTAGATATTATTCCTCTTTTCATTGGCCATGAATGATTTAAATAATTAAACCCACTCCTTTCAAGCAGGTGGTCACAGACAGTCTTAATTACTATCAAAATGACAGGTTTTTTTAAGTAACCTACTTCTTGGATTTATAAATTACAGCAGAGAAACTAATGCAGATACATCAGATGTAGTTTATATGTTAAATTTTGTAGTGGTGCTTTGACATTTCAATTGCCCACACTGAAAAGCAAAGTTTTTAAAACAAAAACAAGATACACAGGAATCTCTTTCATTATTTACTGAGGCTTAGGAACCTCTTGTTTATCAGACCAATCTTTCCTGTTCCTTGTTAATGCTGGAAGCATTTTGGGTTTTTAAATCATCCCCAGAGGCAGCCACATTATGTGTTCCTGCAGGGTACTGCTGACTTTTTCATATTTTTATAACCTTAATTTCTGTCATATCTTTCATTCAGACAGCATCCCAAAATCCTGAGTATTGGAAAAATTCTCAGTGGCTTCAGAAGCAGATCACATAATGCTTTTATAAAGCTTATAAAGTTTTATAAAGCTCTTGTATTTTTAATGAAGATCTGGCAGACACTACTGTTGAGGTTGTGATTTTGTACCAGGTGAATCCCTAGGGCTCTCATAAGATAAATGCCTCCAGCCAATGCTTCCATTTGAAATGGTTTGATACAGAATTGTTTACTATTTCTAGTCTGATCCAATCTCTGCAGAGTTTTCCTCAGTTCTCTTAATATCCCAGTAGCTCTTCAGGTCATGTAAACAAAGACTTCCCACCCCTCAGTCCTTTCAGATAAGAAATAGCCTCTGTCTCTAGACACAGCCATCCTTTGGGACACTGCTGTTTGTTCCTGTTAAATTGTCATGGAGAGACAGAGAACTATTCTTGCAAAGAAGAGCAAAATATTCTGATTTTCAAAGAGGTCAAGAGAATCATCCTCTTTAGGTAGGAGTCTTGGTGAAGCTGATGGGTTCTAGGCAGGTGAGCTGTAGTTCATTGAATTTGGTCTGCCTCCTGCTCCAAACTCACCAGAAAGTTCAGCCCAGTTTTATAGTATTTCTAGTATTATATTCAGTCTTCTCCCTGACACAGCCATAATGCTGGAAGCACTGAGAATCAAAATGCTGAATCTTAACATTAAATAAGCTACTACAAGGTTCATAAACTGTGCTCTTGTGACAGGTGACTCAGAGATCTTCCCAGAATAAATTATATTTCTTCCATTTAAACAGTAGTGAGCAAGGAGTCATTAAGGAAGGTGTGCAGGGGCAGCATCCCCTGTGCTCATCTTGCCACTCAAAGCATCACTCTTGGCACCAAGGAAGCATCACCTGAGCACTGTTAGCCTTGTCTATGATGTATGGTGGCTCACAAGGGTAATGAACCCTTTCTTCCCTCTGCAATGGTGATAAATTATTGTAGGGCAAGCAAGAGAGCTGCTGCTCTGGGAGTTTAGTCAGGATCACTTGGCTCCTCAGTCAGTGAGCTCCCCCAGGGCTGTGCCAGCTGGCTGTGATGCCAGGCAGCACATTCCCTTCCCATGGCTCTGCTTTGCTTTTCTTGTGTGCCCCTTCCTAAGCACAAATGCCTTTACTGAACATTTCAAATACTTGTGTGACCAACGCAGAGAGACATGCAAGGTGCTGACAAAGATTCATATTCCAGAGAATCTGTGTTTCCATATTATTTTTCTATTTTCTATTACACCAGTCATCACTTTGTGACCATGCATAAGGCTTATGCTTCAGACCAGACCATTTTAAGTTGAAAACCAACATTTTTAAGGAAAAGGATTTGCAATATGATTTAATTTATTTAATTGAAAACCAAAAGAAAACACCATTCTTATGTACTGTAAATAACTCCTTCATCTTCTACTAAATTTAACTTGTTTACATGCCCTGCAGCCATACTGAGAGAACAGAATAAATGGCAACTCCTCTTTGGGCCAATTTGGAAAAAAAAAATCAGGAAAGGGATGATGAGAGTGGCCAGACAGTTATGAGAAGGAAGAGATGAGTGCTCAGATAAAAAGCAGCCCAAGGGAAGATTACAAGTTCTCAGAAAAACAGATCAATAATGACGTTAACTATGCAGCTGCAAATGCAACTATTTGCATTTTGAAAACATTTTTCCTAACTATTTCACTGGGCCCAGGGCACCTAGGACACTCTCTGCAATAGACCAACCCCTTTGAAAGGGCAGTATTTTCATGAAAAAGTCGATATCCTGAGGATGCCACTGTATTTTTCAGTACGGGACTACCCGAAACTCCAGCTTACCTTCCCCTCTTATTGCTCACTCACTAAGATCCAAGGATCTGAGACCTCTCTCATTTACAAGTGACTCCCAAACAACTTGCCACTGATTTTGCCTCCTCCCTTTCCCTCTCCAGACCTTTCAACCTGTGGTTCCCTTGGGAAAACCATGACGAATTTCCACTTGGAAATCTCAGTCTCAGTGTTAGGTAGTCTCTTTTTGTTGTTGTTGATGGCCTTTCCTCTCCACCCTCTTTCTCTTCACCACACTGAGACTTTTGACAAGGTCAAACAATTAATCTTTTTTTCTATATTTATATCTGGGAAGCTCCCTCTAGTAGCACGACAGTTTTTGAGCTCAGACAGCTTGACAAAAACAGTAGACAAAAAAGCTCCTGCTACAGAGACCCAGCCTGATAAAACAAATCAATTTTAAAAAAACATTAGAACATCCCAAGTGTTCAGACAAAATGACTACCAGTAGCCCCAGAATAAATCCTGCTTAATGACTGCACAAAATCAAAGCTCCTCTACACAACATGGTACATTATCTCAGCAGCTTATGGGCACAGAAACAGAGTGGCTTTGTTGGGTTTCACACCCAGGACTGCAGTGCCACAGTAAAGGCCAGCACCAAAAGAAGACATGAAGTGCAATGAATGAGGGATGACTGAGGTAAAGAAAGTCAATAAACATTACCTGGAAGGAATAAAGCCAAGGGCCAGTGGAAGCAGCCCTGGCTGGATGAATGTATTGGTGGAATACGTTAAGGATAATTGAAACACCCAGTCAGAAAGAAGTGAAACCTGAATGCTGGTTATACTTCCTGGCTGTATGATGATAAAGTGATCAAGAGAATTGAGAGAACTTAGGAAGGAAGTCCTGAACAAAAGGGAATTGCAGCAAAGTGAAAATGAAACTTAACATGATGGGTTAAAACATGGCTAGTAAGTATTTGAAAGCAAGTACAAAAAACAGGAAAGAGCCAAGTACATCTCCCAGCATGAGGGAGGTAGAGGGAATGCTACAGCAGCAGTTGTTGCAGAAAGATGGAAAGCTAAGTTAAATCAAGCAGTGGTTTCTCTGGGCTCAAACCAGTGTTTGAGTGTGTCTGTGCAAAAAGGGTTTGCTTATGGACTGTGCAAGGCACACTGGGATCCACGTGAGTTAAGGCTACACACAGGTGTTTGCAACAGGCAGTGTGAGCCTAAGTCTGTCACATCTGATTTATTGCTCTTCCTCTGAAACTGTACCTTCCAAACTGAGATTCTGTACTGATTTCCACCCAGAACTTAGAAGTGCATATGGTGACTGTGAGCAGTCTGGGGATCCCAGTTTCATGCACTCAGGCCATACAGTTTCTTTTCATTAAAAATTTCGGGAGGAGTTTTAAAAGTTGCATTTGAAAAATCTTGTATTTCACAGGACATTTCAAAAGACTGATGGGAAGTGTGGCTAAAGGAATTCTGAGTATGGTTTAACTGCTTTAGTCTTCTTCCTTGGGAGCAGTTCACTAGTGGGTTCCCTACTGCCTAGCATTCCATAAGGCATGGGGAATTCCCAGATACATTCCTGCAGTTGTCTAACCTGACAAAACCTTTCTATACCTTTAATGTATAATCCAAACTCCAGCCATCCTTGTCAAGAGGGTTGATGTTGGTCATGGACGAGCTGGGCCTCCTTCCCAGGGACCCTCCAACAGAGTCCTTAGCAGAGCAATAGTGCAGGTGTCCTTCATCACATCCTTCTGAAGGGACAGTGTAAATGGGCTGGAGTCACTCTTTGACAAATTTCTTTTGTTCCTCCATGGAACAATATAGGGTTGGTTGGGTTTTTTTCACAGTGAAAGCACCAACTCCCCTGTGTAGTGACACACAGAGCCACAGCTTCAAAGAACATTATTTCACTTTCCTTTCCTGCTTTGCCTTTCTGGCACAAGGAGAAATCCTTGTTTGTAAAATGCTCTTAGCCTTCAACATGAATTGTCTTGCAACTGATTTTCCTTATTTATTTGAATTCTCACAGAAACTGACCTCCAAATTTAGCACAGGTAGTAGAGCTGTAATATCACCCCAAGGCATTTCTTTACTTTGGTATTGTGACGTGAATCCTAATAAGTTAGTACCATAAGAAGTTATTCAGTATTAGCAAAGCCTCAGAAATATGTACAACAGAATAACCTCTAGATTAGAATCCTGGTTTTCACCCAATTATCAAGGTGAGGGATTTTTTCTTATGCACTACCAAGGGTCATTAAAATGTCTTTCCCACTTGTCTCTGCTGTGGAGAATCATTTGAAAATACCTTGATGACTCTTATCCACAAAACTTCCTTATCTAACCATATATGAATCACTTTGAAAGGAGCCACATTTCTCATAGCAACCAAAGAATCAGTCTTAGCAACAAGACAAGCTGGAGAATTTTGTTTTCACATAGTTACTCGTGGACAGTACATTCTGCTTTCCCCTGGCATTGCTGTTGCAGTGTTGACTTAGAAAAGGGTGAGAAATGGTACAAATCAGACTCTTGCTCATAGCAAAGACATCACTTGCAGGGCAATTTATGATCCTCTGCCTTTGATGTTATATTTTAGGAGTCAGTGCAAGAGTCTGACTGCTGGAAAGTTCAGAATTTATATTTTTGCTTTGACAGAACTACTACAAAGAAACGTGTGAGGAAGTTGACAGTTCCCAAAATCTTTACTTCCCCCCACCAGAAAGCACCATGGAGAATAAAAGAACAAGCTCTAAAGGCCAACATCTCTGCCTCTCTTAGTATCTGTTCATGTTGAAAACAGTTAGAAAGGCTGCATAGAAGGTGACTTTGTAATGTATATATATTTCCTGTATTTTCCTTGCAAGGATAATTTTGGGAGAAATATTACAAAGAAACTGGGAACATCAAAGCAATTGTCATGTTGGTTATTACCTGGTACTGATTTCTTTAGAGGAGTTTTGGGGAAACTTCCCAAAGAAGCAATGCTGAGATTACATTTATAACAGGGGAGTGTTGGAGTAGTTTCCATCTCTCAGTCCCACTTCTGTGTAAGGAAATGAGTTCCCACATGTATTTTGATCCTTTGAAGAAATTCCAGGTGCAGGTAGCAATAGTAACAGCACTCAACTCTCACCCACATTCCTTCCTGTACCCTCTGCAGGGGCTGGTGGTGTCCTGCAGGCTGGTTTGATTCCCCCACTGGTCCTGAAGATGCAGACAGAGTTGGATGAGATCCAGGAGCTCATCCTTGGTACCCTCTCCAACTGTCTCCGTGTGGAGGTTTCTGAAGCCCTGGCAGCTGGTGCTGTTCCTGTGCTGAAGGAAAAGCTCTCACACCCCTCCACAGCCATCAGGAGCAAAGCAGCCTGGGTCCTCTTAGAAATCAGGTAAAGAAACCTCTCTAATGCTTTAGTCTAAGAAATAACTAATTCTTTCAGGAGTAAATTCAGAACTAATTCAGGAGTAAATAAATGCCATTCATTTACAACTGTGTTCCACTACACACTGAGGCTGCCACATTTCATATGTAAAGCACTCTCAGCCTGAATGCACACATGGGTAAAACAAAATGGGACACATGGAGCTTTAAAAATTCCTAACTGCTAAAAATCACTGAAGAAAGCAGATGCTGATCAGTCATTCCTTCTCCTTCTGTTTGTTTTCAGTATAGGCAATGGAATCAGGATTTTTTCCTGGTACAGCACTGCTAGGAAAAAAATTCTTACATGAAAAATCCTGTAGAAACAGGATTCTGACCACTATGGAGGTAGGGAGAATCTCCCTTATGTTTTTGGAAAAGTGCTCTCTCTCAGAAAATTAGAGATCCTTGGAAACTTTCACTGTGATTGAAAACAGAAATGGTTTTCTACCACAGGCTGCCACATACATTAGTGATGGATCAGAAAAAGCAATCTTTATATTAAATTTGTGTATCAGAGAATGGATGAAAGGAATAACTTAAGTCCACTGTACTGCAATCAGAAAATATAATAAGTGTTCAACAAATGTCTAATTTGGAAAGGTCTGCAGTTGATGTAGTTTACATATCACTGGCATTACACATTTCCTCATGTCCTATAATAAAGAGAGGTATTAGATGAAAAGAGTATAATTAACATGAGTCATGGAAAGAAAGCAAAATGCAACTGAAATATGGATATGAGCTTTGTTCTAGGTTCCTGCAATGGCTGGGCCACATTAAATATTCTCCTCATTAGAGAGGCTGGAAAGAAAGAGAGAAAAGTGGTCTGGGAGAAGAATTCATTTTAGCCCTCTGGTTTAGCAGGTTTTTACATGTCTAGAGGCTTCACCAGCCAGGTTTGTAGCTCCGTTGCAACATCCTTAATCCTACATCCTGTTACATGCAGCTGCCCATCAGTGTCCAGTGTACCATAGAAAGCTTTTTTAAAAATCCAGATATTAGCTAAAATATTGTGAAATTCATCCGGGCAGGTCAGTGTGGTACCTCAGGCCTGTGTCAGTGGGTGGGTTCAGCAGCCACAGGCACAGCCAAGCCCTCGGGGGCAGGACAGTCCCTCCAGGGGCCACAGCAGTGTGTGACAGTGCTGGTGGCACCGGGACAGGGCACAGCAGTGTGTGACAGTGCTGGTGGCACTGGGACAGGGCACAGCAGTGTGTGACGGTGCTGGTGGCACCGGGACAGGGCACAGCAGCGTGTGACAGTGCTGGTGGCACTGGGACAGGGCACAGCAGCATGTGACAGTGCTGGTGGCACCGGGACAGGGGACAGCAACCTGTGACAGTGCTGGTGGCACCAGGACAGGGCACAGCAGCATGTGACAGTGCTGGTGGCACCGGGACAGAGCACAGCAGCGTGTAACAGTGCTGGTGGCACTGGGACAGGGCACAGCAGTGTGTGACAGTGCTGGTGGCACCAGGACAGGGCACAGCAGCATATGACGGTGGCACCAGGACAGGGCACAGCAGCGTGTGACAGTGCTGGTGGCACCAGGACAGGACACAGCAGTGTGTGACAGTGCTAGTGGCACTGGGACAGGGCCAGCAGCGTGTGACAGTGCTGGTGGCACCAGGACAGGGCACAGCAGTGTGTGACAGTGCTGGTGGCACCGGGACAGGGCACAGCAGTGTGTGACGGTGCTGGTGGCACCAGGACAGGGCCAGCAGTGTGTGACGGTGCTGGTGGCACTGGGACAGGGGACAGCAACCTGTGACAGTGCTGGTGGCACCGGGACAGGGGACAGCAACCTGTGACAGTGCTGGTGGCACCAGGACAGGGCACAACAACATGTGATGGTGCTGGTGGCACCGGGACAGGGCACAGCAACCTGTGACAGTGCTGGTGGCACCGGGACAGGGGACAGCAACCTGTGACGGTGCTGGTGGCACCAGGACAGGGCCAGCAGTGTGTGACAGTGCTGGTGGCACCAGGACAGGGCCAACAGTGTATGATAGTGCTGGTGGCACCGGGACAGGGCACAGCAGCATGTGACAGTGCTGGTGGCACCGGGACAGGGCCAACAGTGTGTGATAGTGCTGGTGGCACCAGGACAGGGCACAGCAGCATGTGACAGTGCTGGTGGCACCGGGACAGGGCCAGCAGCGTGTGACAGTGCTGGTGGCACCGGGACAGGGCCAGCAGTGTGTGACAGTGCTGGTGGCACCAGGACAGGGCCAGCAGTGTGTGATAGTGCTGGTGGCACCAGGACAGGACACAGCAGCGTGTGACAGTGCTGGTGGCACCAGGACAGGGCACAGCAGTGTGTGATAGTGCTGGTGGCACCAGGACAGGGCACAGCAACGTGTGACAGTGCTGGTGGCACCGGGACAGGGCACAGCAACGTGTGACAGTGCTGGTGGCACCAGGACAGGGCACAGCAGCATGTGACGGTGCTGGTGGCACCAGGACAGGGCACAGCAGTGTGTGACAGTGCTGGTGGCACCGGGACAGGGCACAGCAGCGTGTGACAGTGCTGGTGGCACCGGGACAGGGCACAGCAGCGTGTGACAGTGCTGGTGGCACCAGGATGGTGGCTGAGGGGGCTGCACGGGCAGCAGGCTCAGCTCAAGGACTCAGCCATCTTCTCTCCACAGTTCTCACGCCGAGGGGAAAATCGAGGTGTGCAAAGAAGAGGTGATTCCTGTGCTGCTGAGCCTGTTGGAAGACACACAGCCCGAAGTTCAAGTTAGCTCAGCAGGAGCACTGATGTTTGCTCTTGTTACACCTCAGGGTGAGAAACAGAGGCAATTCTGTTGGGGTACCTCCTGGAAATCCAATTCTAGGGCAACTAAGTAACAAAACATTTTCCCTCCCTACTCCCCAAGTCCTCAGTTTCTGACAGTGTTAATGCACGTCTAGAAACTCTAAGAGTGGGACATTTCTTTATAACTGTCTTTAGCAGCTATTGTTGCTTCGTCACAGTGCCTAGGGGGGACAGGATATTTCACATTTCATTCCCCTAAGTAGGTCAAGAAGTTATTTATCTACCTAACCTGCATAATTTCCCTGCAGAGGGGGAACATTTTCCACTCAAGTCCAGACCACACAGAGATCCAGAAAGCTGGAGCTGCACAGTGCTCAGTAGAGGAGCGGTGCTCTCTGGAAACATTCTGGGATTAGAGGCAGCTCCTCTCTCACAGCTGGGAGAGCAATGAATATTAATAAGGTCTGTAGCTCTCCCAAGTAACTTACATGACACAGAAAATACTAACTGCTAAATTTCCAGTGTGATGAATGAGTAATTAGACATAAAAGACTCAATAACAACAGTTGTGTTCCAGTCCTTCTCTGCAACCCTTCCTCGGGCTTCCAAAGACAACTCAGAAGTGAATCTCGGTCTTTGAAGTGTTTTTAAAAATGAAAGACTGGAGGATGCTCTTAAGGGCATCTAGCAAACTCCACTCCTCACCCCCCTCCAAAACAGTTTATTCTATCATTTAATACCTCATGTAATTTTGGATAATTTGTTGCAAATGAAATACTAATGTGCAAGGCAGATAAAGTTAACCATGAAAGATATTTTTCCTTAAAAATAAACAGCTGGGAGGCAACCTTAGGCTCTGAAAGAAGAGCATGTTCTGCCTCTGTGCACTGCATCTCCAGGGCTGTTCAGAGCCATGGCCAGGCAGGGAATGGAACTGTCAGTCCAAAAGGATGATGATTAGATGTCATTCCACATTTCAAAGCCAGTTTCTTTCCCTGCAGGGAGATCCTCAGCCATGGGTGCTGAAGCCATTCCACCTTTACTGACGCTGGTTGCTGAGGAAACCAGCAAAGCGCGTTTGAATGCAATCAAAACCCTCACCCTGCTGGCTGAGCTGCCAGAGGGCCGCCAGACACTGCTGGATCACAGGGACACATTTCAGAGGTGTCTGGATGATCCCAGCGAGGCCGTGCAAAGAGCTGCCGAAATCGCCATCGCCGTGATCGACTGGAAACCCTCCTGCAGCCGCGATCTTTTCTAGACATCTATTGCCCTCTGTTGTTGTCTGGCTGTAAAAGGTACATGATTACGTGAGACCTTCAACACCAGAGCTCCCTTCCTCACTTACTCTGGATCAGTTTCTCCTGCAAAGTTATCTGGCAACAGTTTCACATATATATTGCAGGTCACAAGCAGAAAAATTGAAAAGAAAAGTTAGGAAGTGTGGAATTCCCCACTAGGAGTTACTGCCCAAATTACCAAGATTTTCCTATGATACAAGACATGAACCCTTTTTGGTTTCTTCATAATGTTCTGTCCTTTTTTGGTTTTAAACCTCAGCCTATCAAACACTTATCAGCAATTAATTGTATTAGAAAGGTTCACAATTAACCCCTCCATCAGTGTTGTGTGTACTGACAAATTGACCCAACAGGAATTCACGTGGATTTTGCTGCAATTTGTTGAACATGGGATTAAGACCAAAGTCAGAAAGCCTTTACAAGGGTAGCCCTTGGTAAAGCTGAGTTGGAGCCTCTCCAACAGGAGAGCAGAACAGCCCTGGCCATTCTCAGCCACCAAGAAAGATGTGACACAGTGGCTGGCACAGCTTCACAGCAAGTCCAATTTGTTTTCACTTGGGTTTTGTTCTCACATGGGAGTTTTATATCCAGAATTGTAGCTACAAAGAAGCTGCATCAGATGTATAAAAGAGGTTATTTGTCAGGGCTGCTTTTCCATTCAAACCCATGGTCACACTGCAAACTGCATTACCCTTACACACAGCATAAACTCTTCCTGTAGGAGTGATTACAGTTAAAATGTTTCTCTTCCATAATGTAACCAAAGGGTGAATTTCCTCTCCTATAAGGATTTGATTTAAAAGCATTGAGTCAGTTGGATTCATTCCCTTCAGGCAGGATCTTGGAAGAACTCTGCCTTTTAAACACATAAGGCACTCATACGAAATACATATTGGTGCCAGAGTGCATCCAACTCAATAAGAGAAGCCAGGCAGCTTTAATAACTTGCTAAAGGACTAGAGCAGAACTGTGTAGGCTCAGTTGCTCTTAGAGAACTGCAGGGAAATCTGATAACAATCATCATTTTAACCCAGGTCCAACCTTGTCACAGCCTTCCCTGATAATTAAGGTTTCACCCTTCAGTGAGTTCTCAAAACAATTAGCTTGTTCAGATGCAGAAATAAGACCATCTTCACTGAACTGCTCTGACTAGAAGAAATTTACTTGGACCTTAAGTAGTGCTTTCCAAGTATCTGCCTGATCAATGCTCCAAAGACAATATAAACTGTTCCCAAAAAAGCCTCTACATGGATCAGTGTTCTCATCTTACACACACAGTACAGAAATGGAACAAAGCCTCAGGTGAACTCTGAGATATGGACACTGCTGGGGCCCTCCCACATGTCAGCTTTTGTCTCAGCAATTCTTTGGCACTGTTAACACCTGACAACATGAAACCATCACACTCCAAACACAACAGGAATTCCCTTGGGCTGTACTGACCACGTGCTGCCTCTGCAAATGCCAGAATTTAAAGTCTGTGTGTGGAACAGCCACTGTTAACCACTGTTAGTTGGGGTTTTCTACTTACAAAGGTGCATTATTGACAAAAAGGTGGTTGCAGATATAATAATCAAAAGTCACAGGCTGTGCTGAGGGCTAATTCCCTGCTTTGGGATGAGACACAAGAGTCCCCATTTCATGAGGCTGGGAATTAATTAGCACTCTAGGTGTCAGTAAAACAATTGGCTGGATCAAAGAACAGCTGATGAACACTTTTCCTGGACTCCATAAAAAAGCTACCATGGACTTGGTCACAAAAATACTGAAGATCTTTTTAAATTGCTTCATACACATGACAAATACTTAAATTAACATCTCAGGATCTGGCACCCCACACCCTAATTAAACTCACTCTTTCAAAGGACATGATGTGTACAGCAAGTCTCTGGTTTTAGCACTTGCCCTCCCCAGTGCTCTATGCTCCAATGGCTTTAGCACCAAGGCAGATTTTTAACATCATGAAATCAATTTGCCTTTTTAGCTTGAAGCCAACAAATATTAAGGCCCAGATATAATTAATATGGGCCCAGGTCAATACTGGAATTAATGCAGTTACAGTCTACACAGACTGAGTTTTCAAACCAGTTGCCCAGCAGTCCTCAGCAGCACCAGAAGACAAGTCAACTGCATCCATGGGAAACAAGATTTCCCTGTGGAGTCTGGTGTCCCACCCAGGCAGAGCTCACATTAAATTTTTTCTATCTGTTTCCAGAAGGTTTTCAATGTTATGACTCTTTGTTCTTGCAATTGCAGACTCATTTCCACTGTCCCTATATGCTTTCAGGAAGCTAAGGGGTGGAAATCATCCTGTCCTGCTCTGGAAAATGGCAGCTTTTAATTCCATCTCTTCATGTTTCAAAGCAAGGAGTATATTTGTTTCCCACTACTACCTTTTCTATTAAAAAAAAATATATATAAAAATCATATAGTGAGAAATTTGTCTAAGGACAAAATAGTGTGGGAAAATCAGATTTGGCTAATGACATTAAACCAGAATGGCAGAGAGAGCTACACACAAAGCTAATAGGCTCAAAGCACAGGACTTATTTTTAGCATGACAAAGTTTGCAATTTAAATAACTAAAACACATTTTAATAATTTGTTTTAGCATACCTTGTATATAAGCTACATTTTTAAAGTTATAGGCTCCAATATTGTAAACAAAAATGCTGCACAGAGTGACAAGAAACTCACACCTCAGCTTGAAGCTCTTCCAGGTACCTTCAGAAAAGGAGGGGAGGTGCTGATCCAGGCAGGCAGAGTTGCTCTGGCCTCAGCTGTGCCAGGTGAGGGGAGGGTGGGCCCAGGAGCTCCAGGAGAATTAGTCTTCCTCACAGCTGCCATGGTAGAGGGCAAGAAGGAATGTTCTTCAGGAGGCACAAAAAAGGCAAACTCTTTAATTAATAATAAGGATGATAACTAGAGGCACTGCTTATGCTGTCTTGCATTAGAACAACCAATAGAAACTGGAGTGAGTGAAGTTTTGTCTGTCCTTTAGGTTCTCTAGCACAGGCCTACAATACACACTCCATGAGAACATGCCAGGAACCACCAAATAAAGCTAGGTTTTTTTCATTTCCCATCTCTTTCAGCAGTGTATTGCCTACTGTTATTAAATCTGGGACTACAGGTTCTCAGCTCAGCACAAGGGAAGGTCTCTGATTGCTGCTCCCTTCCCTCTCTGGGGGCTCTCTGCTCCCCCAGAGAACACTGCAGGGCACAGACACCTGCAGCTGGCACATGAGCCAACTAAGCAAATTAAAGCACCCAGCAGCTTTCCTGAGAGCAGCTTTGCTGTCACCCCACAGCCTGTGCCCAACCCTTTTCTGCGCTGTCCTCAGAAATGTCAGCTCTAAAGTCCTCTGGCTCCACATTTCAATCCAATGAGCTCAAGTGCCCTTCAAATACAGTGACTAGCAATACATGGATTTATTGTTAGCTTGGCTCCTCATTTTTGTGTTGGCTTTTTCTTTATAGGAGCACTCCTGGTTTTTCCAATTAAGGCAGGTCAGGGAGCTGAGTGCCCTGGCAATCCCAGCTGCTGCTGGGCTGCACAATCACCACAATCACCTGCACCTGAGGAGCTCAGCCTTGTGCCATGGCCAGACAGTCTGCTTGAAACCAAACCATGGGTACTGCAGATTGATTCCAAACAAAGTCCCAGACCTTCCCTCCCCTGGTGTTTCAGTGCATGAGGTTTTTCAGTAATAGAATAGGAATAAACCCAAATCCTGATTTCTAAGAACAGGGTGTTCTTATCATCATGAATACTGAACATTTGTGAGATACTTGGATACATTTTTGTGGGTGATACAGACCAATTAAATGAACAGTGACTACCCTTTTTCAGGGTTTTTCTTAAGGATTATGTAGTATTTCTTTAATGGAAAATTTTGTTTAGTGTGTGTTCTTTACTGAGCAGTGTCACAATTCATTGACAGTGCTACTAAGTGCATATTACATTTTATTGAAATAATTCTGTATATCTAACTAAAGTCCACTAAAATAAGCTTTAACCATGTATCTTACCTGACAGGGTAAGCTGGGATGTCTCAAGAACCCCTGAAACAGAACTGTGTTATGCTGCACATATCATGCAGGTACTTTGTGCTGTGAGCCAGAGATTTATTTGGAGTCTCATCACTAACCAGAAGTATTTCAAATGTATAGTCCAACACTGGGGGAAAGGGTGTGCTCACAGTTCCCACCTCTAAACCATGACAATGCCCAAATCAGCATAAGCTACTGCTTTTAGCTGAGTGTTCCCAACAACAGCTCATGGACAGAGCTCCCCTGAAAACTGAAGGAAAGTAATTTACTTCCTTAAAATCATGAATGCAATAGCTACCAACCTGAGTTGGCATTTAATGTTAGCTAAACATTACAATTTTATCAACTGTTCACAATATAAGGCAGTTTTTCTTTGAAAATCTACAAAATTACAGGAGTCAACAGTAGCTGTCAAACTTTATGTAAACATTTGAGTCCTTCCCTCCACAACATCCACCTCCAGACCAGAACAAAATCAGGTTGCTGAGGACCAAAATCATGCAATGATGCCTGATTAACCAGGAGGTCATCTAAAGGCTGCTCAGACTGCCAGGAAATCACTTGTATTATTTGCCTTTATCCAAATAGCTTTATAATTTCACCATATTTTTGTAGCAAAGAATGACAAAGAGGGATCTGAGCAATCCTCAGTGACATCTTGTTTGTTTTTCATCCACTACTATTACCCAGAGTCAAAACCTAGATACCAAATGAAGTTTCTCTGTCTTCCATCATATTATATAAAAACCCCATCACTTTGTGGACACCAAATACTTCAAAACATACAATTTCTTTAATACATACAAGTCTTCATTGTTCATTAAATACAATTAATTCCAAGGTCTTTAAAATACTCTATCACCGTGTTAAGGTTTGCACTGGTGTTTCTGAAGTATTGATTTGATCTAGCCTGTGCAAAGGACACTGCAGGGATTGTGCTGAAGACCATCAATTCTCCTGAAGAGCAGCAACTGCTGGAATCCAGAGCATTTGGGTTTAGAGCCAAATGAAGCAAAGATCCTGCCAGGAGAGTAAGAAGTGGGAGTGATGGGAGCCCAGGAGACAGAGCAGGGTGCTGTGGCACGGGCAGGGGCTGCTCTGCCTCCCCCTTCAGCTGCACTTGCTGCCAGCCCGAGCATCCTGGGGCTGAACCTCGGGAGTGCTGGGGACAGCACAGTCCCAACGTGTGCAAAAAGAAACAGGGAATCGTGGCACTGCCTGACTGAGCAACCAGCATCTTCTTTCTACACGATTCCCCAGGAAGCTGAATGAGATGAAAAGATCTATTGCTTTTTGCTTTGAAGTGTTAAATCTGTCTTTTCCTGTGTCCCCAGCTGGTACCAAACTTATCAAGTGGAGACAATGAGCCTGGTTTAGCTGATATCCCACAGCTGTGACTATTCTCCTTCCTGAACTGCTAACTCATGCTGCCATGCAGCAGGAATCCTATTTCTCAATGAAATCTTCAGAGGAAAGATTTATAGCTTTGCAGAAAAGCAGTACAGAGTATCTGCAAAATGCAGCCCAGCATTCCACTACTGTGGATGTTTCACCATGGGCTGGTTTGCAGCACAGTCCAGAGACAGAGACAGTGCATTGACTCAAGCCCACAGTAAAGAGGTCCTTGACACACCAGGGTGGGAATTGATCAGTAAGAAATAAATATATATACACACACATAAATACATATTTTAAATATATATAATATACATAGTGCATATACATAATGTATTGCTTGTGTATATATAATACATGTATTTTGTATAAAAAGCTTCACATTCAAGTAAAGGGATATATTAAAATATCAAGAGAGGAGGACCTTTGGAAGTTAACCTTAAACAGATAATCTGCTGTAAGCAAAATTCTTCTTAAGATCATCAGGATGGATGTTCCTCAGTTTCAAAATGTGATCAATTCAGAGGTTAGTGTTCCACTGAAAACTGAGAAACACAACCCAGTGGAAAATGAGAAAAAGGGGGGAAAACTGATAATGGAAAGTTATATGTAGTATCAAATATATTGATTTATGAATAAATCCTTTACTTAAGATATCCCATGTTTGGAGGGACAATAGCAATGTTTTAATTTGAGTTTGTAACAGTCCCTCAGTGGTTGTGAGTTTTTTTCAATCAGACTATCATAGCCAAAGGAAAAGGAAAATTGAATGATCAGAGGAAGGGGTGAAAATCAATAGTATCGTGAACCCTAAAAGATAGTTCACAAAACCTGATACAAAATATGGCTCATGCAGACTTGTTCTGAACCTAAAATATGAAATGTATCATGAGCAGAGAGAATATTGGATGGAAATTCTGAACCTCAGTTAGCCCCGGATTGGTTCAATGTCTAAATAGAAATTCTCTTGAAATCCCAGTGGCCTTCATCTTTAAATTGTTGAAATTACGATCACAAAATCAGTGAGTAAATCACTCTGATGTTTTACAAATGTAGATGATGAAAATACAATGTGTATCTAATTGTGTAAATGTACAAACCATCATTTGTGCTTGAACAATGCAGTACAATTCCAGGACTGTGATCAGGGGGTTATGCAAAGTAGGCATGGCAGAACACAGCCACAGTCAAGAGGATGATGCCATTGATATTCACAACGTTTCTCCACAGTGGCACTTCACTGGTGTCTGTTAGTTTCTTCTTCAGTGCTTCTTCTTCCTCCTTGCTCAGTTTGGGGCCCTTCTGTTGGTCCAAGCCACAGAACCAGTTGTAAGCTTTCCTACAGCATCCTGGCTCCTCCTGGTTTTCTTCATTAACTGGAAGGAATAAACAATCTGGTCAGGAAAGGTGAGTACAGATCATGGCACACACTTGATCTCTGGGACCGAGAACATTCCTGTTCTGATTTATGGTCATAATTCAGTTGGGGGCATCTTAGTACAAAACAGCACAAGAATTAGGTTAATATTGCGTTTTCACAGCTCATCTGGGAAAAGAGGGATTTTCTACATGTTCCAAGAGAGCCTTCTGCAGAAAGCACTCGGGCCTTTTGCAGCCCAGAGACTTGGCCAGGTATTGGGGAAGCAAAGTGCTTCAAAGCTTAAACTCCATTTTTTCAATATTTTCTACACTCTGAACTGAAAGACAAATAAATTAATTTGAGAATACTGATGAAAAGGAACTTGAGAGCAGAACCAGAAACCCAGTAAAGAGAGCAGGTGGGTTTGCAATTTGTTTTCATGGTTCCTTCAATCCTGACCACAGCCCACTACTTGCAGGTGAATTCCCTCCCAGTGCTGGAGTCACAGTTCTGCCAATGCACAGTGCCTCTGACCCAGAGCACTGCCATTGGTTTACTCCTAGAGCTGCCACCAAGATAGCAAGAGCATAAGATTTTCTCCCTTCAAACCCACTTCACTTCTGATTTACACTGAGCTTGAGAGATTGGAAAAGGCAACTCATGAGCCATTTAAATCTGTGGCGGCTGAGGGTTTGTTGCTGGGGAGAGGGAGGATCTCTTCAACTATCAAGCATGTTAATGTTTCTTCAGGAATGAAACAGGGATACTCAAATATATGACAGAATCTCTAGGTATTCAACAGTTACCTGATTCATTATCTTTTTCATCAGCTCTGTCCTGCTCCTCATCTGCATCAAGATCAATCCGTTCTTCTTTGCTGTGCCGCAAGGACCAGCACAAGCGGTAAAGCTGCCACAGAACAAAAGGACTTAAATTGATCATGGGCTGACTACACAGAGACCAACCAGCCTGGCCAGCACCTGAGCTGGCTGTAAGACCACAGCATCCCAAATGTCTGGGACATCCCAGGCTGTTAGGAGTCACTGAAGATCTGTGACAGGTAAATGAAGACTATTTCCTTTGCTTTCTTACAAGAGCTGTATGCTGGGCTGGCTGAAGTGTTGGAAGTTACACACCAAGTACGATCTGGTGGTTTCATTGTGTTCCATTTCTTGAGGAGCAGGAGTGCAGTAATACTCACATGTACATCAGGAATGGGCTTGGTCATGAAGGAGACTGCCAGGATGACGATGGCAGAAACCCCAAAGAGGATCAGTGCAAAGTAAAGGTAGTGAATGCCACAGATGATGAAGGGGCAGTTGGAAGGGGCCACACAGCTGCCAGTTCCATAGGCAAACTCTGCAATCATCCTGCCGAGTCCAGCCAGCAGCCCAATGATCAGGCCCCAGAAGGCACCCTGCAGACAAGGGTGTGACAAGAAGGGACCAAAATTAGTAATTTCAAGCATGGAAATAAACTGTAAGGTCTCAAACAGTTGCTGGAGGAAACATGGATGTAGTAACATGGATGTGTTACAATGGCTTTGGTGTGTGGGTTTTAACTCAGATGCTTTCAGTGACCTTATTTACAGCTCAGTGTATGAGCACAACTGAAAGGGGCAATGAACAGCTCTGAGATGTCAGGCACACCTCAGGACACCCCGTCCAGACCATTTCTCACAGTCCATCTGGCTCCACACAACTGTCCCCTTCTACAGGACAGGTTTCAGCCATGGATTGCACACCCCAGGGGCTGGTCTTACACCTTTTTACCTTTGAGGTCTTAATCCCTGACAGCTCTGGCACGATGGAACTAGCTAGAATGTTGTGTCATCTTTCCTGAAATGTGTGTCTGGTTTACCTGCTAATGGCCCTGAGTAATTACTTAATTCTCAGCAGCCTTGGTGGGTGCCTGGTGTACAGTACCACAGCCCAAAGTATAACAGACACACAGGTATGTGTGGGCAAAACTGAAATATGGGAAATTCTGTTTAAACATAATTTTTTTTGTTTTACTGTAAAGGTGCTTGATCATTGGAACAGGTTGCCTAGAGACACTGTGGAAGTTCCAGTCTTGGGGATATTTAAAACCCAACCGGACAGGATAGGTAGTTTGAGAGTAAGAGGTGGTTTGTTTGGTAAAGGAGCTTGGTGACCAATATACTAAATGAAAACTTTCAAATATGTGTCTATAGATTATCCTTTTAGCACACTTCTTGGCAAAGTGATAGGTAACCTAAGCTTCAAAGGTATCTGTGAATTCCTAGCTGACTGTTTATCTATCAGACTAAGAAAGAACTTTATCCAACTCATCTCTGAAACCTCAGGCTTTGGGGTATGGAGACACAAAACCCCTGGGCTATACTGGGATTAAAATAAACAGGAAGAACTTGCTCATAACAAAAATAAACCCAGTTCCCCCAATTCCTAAAGGAACACATGGCATACCTGTTCCTTAATTTGCATTTACCTGCTCATTGACACGCTTGCAGAAGATACCAAGCAGGAAAACAGCAGCAATGGGAGGTCCCAGGTAGCTGGTAACAGACTGAATATAATCAAAGAGCTGCCCACTCTGAGCTGACTGCACCACGGGAACCCAAGCAATGCTGATGCCAATTAAGAGTAACATAAATGCCCTGTAAACATAGCCAGATATTCAATTAGCCATCTGCTTAGAAGTATCTATAATCTATCAGAAAGAAAAAAGAACATCAATTAATCAATAATTTACATGTTCATTTTGTATTTCAACTAGTGAAATCAATTATAATGGCAAATTAGCACTGCACAAACAAAAGAAAGCCAAGTTGGGTATTGTGTATGTCAAATACCCATCAGCGCATGGTTAAATATGCAATCAAAACATACAAAAATTACTTTCTCCTGTGGTTGTTATGTCCAGAGACAAACCAATAGCAGATGAACTAGAACCAGCTCATTGACGCTGCAGCCTGGTGCAGCACGGAGCCCAGGAAGGTGATTTAAAAGATCTTCCTTCGAAGAGCGGTGGGAAGCAGCGACAACGATCTCGGCTGCTCCGTGCAGCCCGTGCGCTCCTTGCGGAGCGGGGCTGTTCCCAAGGGAGCGCACCGGGCGGGGCCGGGCAGAGGCCGCGCCGGGCGCCGGGGGGAGGCGGCCGGAGCACCGAGCGCTCGGCCGCGCTCACCTGCCAGCCAGCATCAGCTCCTTCTCAGATGGCCGCGTCCGAATTTTGGTGTAAATGTCCATCGTGAACAAAGTACTGGCACTGTTAAAAATGGATGTCAGGGAGCTCATAAGGGAGGCCAGCATGACGGACAGCATCAGACCCCGCAGACCTGGAACACAAAGGTGGGAACAGGGATGAGCTTTCTGTGCACGGCCTCAGCACCTGGCACCAGCTGTTGGTCTGACCCTTTCCATCGGCCAGCTCTGAGCATGTCTGGCACATTTATGTGCCTGACATAAAATCCTGCCTGACACTCACTTGCTGGGCAAGCAGAGCTTGCAAAAAGCTACAGCGGTGCCAGGGAAAACATTGAGCTTTTAGCAGTTAGGTACTTCTTTAGTGAATTCTGCCTGATTAAATGCTGGAATAAAAAGAAAACAATATTAAGTAGCTTTCCCCAACAGTTATAAAAATAATTCATTTTGTTTACAGGAGAGTGCTCACTTGCTTGTTGTATATTTGTGAACCAGGTATTTGCCAAAAAACGCCTACTTTCTTTTACTGTCTGGCAACCAGAGTAAGACACTTTTCCAGGTGGCTTGGTCTGGTCACAGAGCATGAGGAAGTACTGCAGGATTTTAACAGCAGTTATCAAAGGATGGGAAAGTACCAAAGCTATCAGGGAAGTGCCATGGTCTCTGTAATAAAAACCTGGCTTTTTTGCCTCATGAGCCAGCACCTATCTCTTTGGGGTTGGCAGGAGGAATAGGCCACCAGCTCAGAGATCCTGGCAGAGAGTCTTTCATAAATCATTGGCCAAGCAGGTTATATTTTACCTTCACAAAAAGGGAGCTCATTTACCATTTCAGCAGGCAGTATGTACCAGCTGAGAGCTGACTCTCAGCGTGGAGCAATTCTGCACCTACAGCTAATACAGACAGCCCCTTTGGTTAATAGTACATAATTCTAGCAAGAATTTTGGAACTAAACACGGGTCTTGGACTCCTTCTATCACTTGTTTTTGCAGTCTGGCTTTCCTAAAACAAAGAAACAACAAATACAGACAGCGTCTTACCATTTGGCATAAGCTCCACTACCATTTTTGGATAAGCAATGTTTGTACAGCCCACTGCAGTGCCACAGTAGTGCTGACAGACTTCAGGCACAACACAAGCCACCACATCTGAGGAGAGGATAATGAGACACTGAGACAAGGTCATGTAAACAACAGATTGCTCCCAAATTAACAGAGCTTCTAGAATGGATCTCTGTGTTGAGCCACCAGATTGACACGTTTGACTTCATCCTTGGTTTGCTGGCAGGGAGGAAGGTGATTCTAAGCCTCTTCCCTTCTCTTCCTCTCTAAAAGAATACTGACAAGTGCTGCAGGTCAAAAGAAAATCTACACTCGTTTGTCAGACCAGGGCTGAACAACATAAGGAGACTAAGTAGAAAAACAAGCAGAGGAACACAAGCCTACTCCCTGCAGCCTGAACCTCTCTCCTCTGCCTGCTGCCAAGCACAGCCAGACTCTCTGCTGGTCAGGGAGATGGGAAAGTGGCATTTCCCCGTGCTGCCCTTGGGACTGCCCATGGCCCAGACCCTGCAGTCTGTGACTGATGGCCCTGTCCCTCCAATTGACAGCATTTTCCACTCATTCAGTCAGAGTGGGGCTGTAACAAACAGACAGCTAGGGAGGGACACTGTGGAATTTCTTTCCCCTAAAACAGACAGCAATAGTATTAGCAGAAACCTGGGATCAGGGAAAAGAGGAAGGCCTGGGGCTTCTAACAGTGCAGCTAGCTGAAGGTCCCTGGACTATTTGGATGAGAAGATGACAATCTAACAGGTATTTTGGAAGGAACAAAGAGATTGGCAATGAAAAGCAGGCAGCAAGAACTTTGCTTTTCCATACCCATATCATACCTGTGTACAAAATCCGGCTGATCATTCCAGGCATCACTATGATAAACATGGGCAAGAGTTTGAGGTACCCACACATGATACAGCCAGCCTTCACATGGGACATGTTCTTGCCAGAGAGACATCTTTGCACAATAACCTGTCAATGACACATGGCAGCTGTAACATTTCCACGATCATACCATGCCATGTTCCACATACAAGGTGCTTCTTAACTTCTGTGATAGCACAAGAGCCTATTTAGCATTTCTGCCACTAGGAAAAATGAAAACTACATGAAAATCAAATAATATGTTTGAAATAAGTAAAGGAAAATATTACTTATCCAATGCATGTTTGAAGGGTAAGACTTCTCTCACAAGAAGTTTTTAAAGCAGACAGACTAAAAAGCCAAAAAGGAATGTTTAACTGAGCAGTAAATACAGTTACATTGGGGATTTTGTTAATTTGTTGAGAATTCGTGATGATCTTTCTCACAATTCAGGATGCAGAGAGATCATTTGTTAGAGGCACATTCACATGTTGCAGGAGCACATTTTTCTTTACTCATGTCAGTGTGATCTCTTGAGGAAACTGGACAGTAGGTTTTAGAGAGAAGGAAGGATGACTGGGGAAGAGTCTCCAAGATGAAAGATCCAACATATAATGAATCCCCCCAGGACTGTGCAAGCAAAGATGAAAGCTGCATATACAGGAAACAAACTTGTCTTACTGAAAAGGGAATGGTATCTAGACCCATCTAACAAGGGTCATTTGTTCCATGGCTTCCTAAGTAAGTGTTCACAGCCCAACCTCTCTGTTTTCACACACGGTCACACATAAAAAATGAGAAAGGAGGCAGACACAGTATCTGCTGGGCACAAGTGTGCAGGAAGATGTGAAAGAACACCCATTCCATTTTCTTACATGTGAGAGATGCCTCGAGACCAGGAACTGAAAAGTCACTGACCAGTCTTGAAATAACAGCCAGTTCTGTGGGCCAGCTTTGCATTAGAGAGGAAGATCAGAGTGGAGCACGGAGCTCTGTGTTTGGCCTTTGCAAGGTGCTGGGCTCCCACATTACCTGATCTGTGCACCAGTACCACATGGCAAGGATGCTGAGGCCGAAGACGAGGCCTGGCCAGGGCAGGTCCCCGCTGCTGGCGTCTCGGAAGATGTGGAAGGCGTCCCTGCGGGGCGTGTAGCACGCGGGATCCACCGCCGTGCCCCCGTAGGAGACGTTGGATGGAATGGCTGCCATGTACTTCTGCATGAAAGCCTCATACCCTCCTACTTCAGCAAATGCTGCAACACAGAAAGTAAAAGTAGCAATAAAGGATTTATTACTGAAATCTCACAGCTTGAGAGTGTGAGGAGAAAAGCTTCCTTAATGTGGTCATAAAAATCCTGTCATGGGATGCTGTTTATTACCTTACACATTCACTTGTGCTTGGGAGACAGAGTGACTCAGTGACTAAAGCTGCCTGACTTTTGGCAACATGCCCGTTTTCTTCCCTGATAAATACATACAGGAGCCAAAACCTCCTGGTCAAAGTAACAGTTTCACACTGCAGGATTCATTCCTGTAGCCACTGCAAGATTTGTGGCTGAACATTCCCGTTTAACTCATCCGATTTACTTACCAAATCCCATGAGAATAAAGGATCCCAATACCATGATGAATGTTTGTAAGGTATCTGTGTAAATCACAGCTGCAAGGCCACCTAATGGCAGAGAAGTCAGAACAAATAAGTTAGCCCTGGGCAAATGTCTCAGTGGAAATGCTTTTTTCTTTTTTTCCCTTTTCCCACCACCTCTGTTTTTCAAGGACCACTATAAATAACCCCCCTTTCAGGTTTTCTTTTCTCCCTTTTTCTCCACTTCTCTTTCTTCTGGCTCCCTCAACATCTGATTTATCAGACTACTCTGCAAACTCACCTGTGATGGTGTAAAGAGCAGTAATAGAAAGCAGGATAATTATGGCCAAATAAAGATTCAGCCCTATGGCCAGCTGGATAAATACAGCTCCAGAGAAGATGTCAGCCTAGAAAAGAAAAAATAGTAGGTTCAGCAATGTTTAGGTTCATGGTGACCTATTATAGTTCCATGATGAGGGCACTGAAATACACAACTCTGCCCCTTGTAGTACTGCACACACAAATCAAAAAGAAAATAGAAGCCATTTCTGTGCACCTGCCAGTGTCCCCTCAGAACTGTGGAGTTCTTAGTACCAGAGGTGTAACACTTCTTAGAGAATTTCCAGGCCTTTTTTAACAGAGTGGTTTTTTCTAGACAGTTTCCTCACTGTTCAGTACTTAGGCACTAAGAGACAGATTCAAAACAAATAAAACTGAGTTCCCTTTGCTGCTGCGTGAAGGGCTGGGCTGTGTGACACCTCCAAGACATGGCACAATTCATTCAGTGTCACCCCACAAATCTCTTTCCCTTTACTGCTCACATGTGGTGTAGCTCGTCTTGCTGGCTCAGGACAAACGGTGCATTTGCATTAAAGACAAACATAATTTTTAAGTTCCTGTCAGAAGAACTGACAGCAGTTGGCTAAGAGAGGAAACCTTTAGCTCTTGCATAAGGAAGCAATTGTTCAGGTTTCAGAGTAACATTGGGACGTTAATCCCATTAAATCAGTTCCCGATTTAGAGATAATTGACATCAATGTTATTTATACAAGTTTGCAATCAGAATAACTTGCCCTGCTGCACTTGTGATGCCTTACAGTAAATTATGCTTTCATTAGAGGCTGCTCCTGAGCATGCAGCTCACGGGCTCCCTCCTCCCCCTGCATGCACACCGCCCGTGGAGGGCTCTGCACAGGGACTGCCATCCTCAGCTGCCAGCGGGTCCCCGTGGGCTTCAGGAGCTGAAGCAAAGACACAAAACTCTGCCCAAGCCCTGGGGGCTCCGGGGCCGGCCAGAGCCGGGATGACAGCCCAGCCCGGGCACACACCACCCCCACAGGGCGTGCTGCAGCCTGGGAGAAGCCGAGAGAAAAACCATCTTCATTCCCGAGACGCTGAACGGAGATGCAGGGCAGCGCCTGCTCTGCGAGTGACAGAGGGGTCCCACTCCCAAACCCTGCCTTGGAGCACATTCCTTAGAGGCTTTGCTCTGGCCCTGGGAGCCAGGGCTTTAGCTCTTACCCCAGTGGCTGTCAGACCACATCCTCTGCCCCACATCTCTCTATGGCAATTTGTTTCTTATCTTTTCACGCCACTAATCAGTCTGTGTTCCTGACCTTCCTTTTATTGTTCTTGGCTTTAGTTTATCATTAAATATTGATGGGCCTAAAATGATTCCCACAAAGAAATGTATAGTTAATTATTGAGCATTCTGGGAAATGTATCAACTTCTTCAAATTGCTGCGTTTCTTCCAGTTTCACTGCTTCTCCTCCCCAGTAAGATTATTGCCTTCCAATATTTCCCTGTTTCATTCATAGTCTTTTATAGACAATCTTCAGCTAATCTCTTATTAGAGTCTCTCCCCTTTACACTACAGGCTACCTCTGCAAAGGCAGGGATCACAAAGCAACACCTGGCCAGGAAAGTGCCAGCTGGACATATCCTGTAGGTGCCAGAGCAGGAGCACCTACTCAGCCCCTGCACTATCACTCCTAGGAGAAGGTCATTCTTCTCTTCCTCTTTCCCCTGGGAAGTCTATGCCCATAGATTTCCTACTGAAATTACGCACAACAAACAGAGAGAAAAATGCTCTAACAGATTCAGAAGTTCCAGTTTATGATTTCTGATTTCTTCAAAAACATTCAGACCTTAATTCTGTCTTGTCGTAACTTAGCCTATTACTATCCATCAATACTTTATTTTTACTAGACATTTCCTTTGGCATAATGACCAAGATCATCAACACAGTGGCTAAAAAGCCTCTGCAAGCTGCTATGGCAGTGTTCACAATGTGCTGCACACTTACAGAGCAGGTACAGGTGAGGTCCCTGTGTGAGCAGAAATTTCTGTATGACACAAATCCTTTGGGCTCAAAAATCATATGTATCCTGATCCCAAGGATGAACTCCTTTGCAGCATGTCCTTGTCAGTAAAGTGGCTGATTAGCCCCAAAGCATGGTAAGAAATCAACAAAACCAACAGAAAATGTGCAGGGAAAGAGAAATGGAAAGGACAGTGGAGCAGTGTGCAAAGGGAATCTGATCCTCACACGGTGGTGGCACTGGGCCAGAAAACACAGCAGGAGTCACACGACATGATATGTGATTCTGCTCCCTAGAAAGTATTGCTATAATTATATTATTAAGTACACTACATAATATTTCAACACAGCAAAGAAGAAGCACATGAAATAACTACCCCAGAAGCAAGAGATGCCACTCTTCTCCAAGGGTAAGAGGCGGTGGGAATTGCTGGTGGGTGTGACCTCCCACTCAGGGCAGGGCAGCAGCCCATCCTTCTCTATCAAATCTCAAAGAGCCCCAGAAATCACACAGGAGTATTTGCAAAGGCAGCACTGCAGAAAGTACAATACAATGGCTTGTCAACAAATGGATGGATTTGGATATCCAACGTGTCTGTGGGGAGGGAGGCTGTGCTTGTGCCTCTCCCCTCAGCACAGCTCCCTACAGCCCAGCAGGGAACAGCCCTTCCCTCCCTGCTCTGGCCATAGCAAAACCTACTCCGAGATCCTCTGACAGCACCTGACACCTCCAAGGATTGGCTGCTCTGCCTAATCTGAATCAAACAGAGCAAGTGAATCGGTCCTGGGCAGATCCTGCCCATCCAAATGCAGCACATGAGGCAGAAATGCAGAGACCTGTCTGTACACTCCAGGAATCTCACCTGTACAGACAGAGACACTGCCAGAGCTGCTCAGGACAGTTAGGGGCAACCAAAGAAATGCTTAAGGAAATTGAACACCATATTTTACCCCTGCACAGCACAGAGACCCAGCTCCAAGGCACTTCCCCACAAACACCTGGAATAAAGGGGCTGATGGGAAGCTGGGGTGGGCCAGTGGCAGAGTGGGGCCCAGGTAACCTGCACCTGTAACAGGTGCTGCTGTATGGATCCCTTGCCTATGGAGAGGCTGTTTGAGCCTCATGGCTACACTGGAAGCTTATATGCAGAATCTGTTTTTCCTGGAAACGGGACACTCCAACTGAAACAGTGAAAAATCCCATCATCAGAGCCTCAGGCATGACACAGGCTGGAAATCAAAGCTGGATAGTAAATCCAGAACCTACACAGCACCTTGATAGGCTCACCACCAACATGTGTTGCTGAAAAGGACTGTGAGTCACTGACTGGAGGAGCTCCTCTGCTGCTGGAAGGTCCAGAACTTTGTGTTGTACCCAGGAGTTCTGATTCTGATAGTTGAGCACAGCTACAACAAACTCTCTAATCCTTTTGAAATATACAGAAATCCAGCTCTGAGGCCAGCTCACACTACTAACCTGTTTAATTTATAACCTCTCTAAGGATCAGTTATAATGTGAGAATGAGAGCAAAAGGCCAATCTTTTAGCTTAAATTGCACTATTATCACTCAGCTCCCATTCAGAGGGCAAAGACTAATCTGCCATGACAACTTCTGCAAAACAACAGACTGAAGTGTGCCTGAACTGTGGACTTCCTTAGAAGCTTGGTACTTTCAAGACATGTGGAAAATACCAGCTCTTTTTACTACTCCACAGAAACACATCCATTTACTTAATAAACATTAACTTCTTAGTACCTTAAAGTTTACACCAATCACTTGCCCATTAAAAGAATCTCTCCTCTTCCCTCCTTTCACCTCAGCTGTTACAATTTGCCTCATTTTCATTTCCCCACTCTTCCATTTTCTAATTCTTGTTATTCTTTTTTTATCCATAGTCCCCTTGCTCTTTACCCTCATCTATATTACTGATGACATGCTCACCAGGAGATACTAAAACAGATGAATATGAAATCTAGGGACAATAATTCCTGTTCTGGGTTTCACAGATCCCTAAGATAACAGACCATAATACATTACAAATTTCCCTCCACTCTGATGCTTTCTAGAGGAGACCAAATGTAAAAGTAAACCCTAAAACTTTAAAAAGTGGACAAAGCACAATAAGCATCAAAAGAAACTGCCAGGAAGAAAAAACCTTGGATTGCAACACAGAGTCTCACTGGACAGAATGAAGAAAACACAAAATCATAATTTTACAGTTGTTAATTCAGCCAAGAGCTCCAAATCCAAAATGCTTGACCAGTTATGAGAGCAATATTGTAAAAGGACATTTCTTTTCTTTAGATCGATGTAGAATGGAAGAAATTGCTGTAGAAGTTTTACTTACTGAGATCTTTGTGAAAACATATATGATCAGGGAAAGGACTGACAGGTAGACCTGGATCCGTTTCCCACCAAAACGCTTCCTCAGGTATTCTGGCATTGTCACCACCTGTGGAGGCAGAGGAGGTTTTAGATAATGGGGAACAGGTAAAATCAAATTAGAGGAAGATTTTTTGGTATTTAGATACTATGAGAGTGGAGCACAAAATTAAGAGACTGTAATTGCAGTTTCAATGAAGAGCAGCTCCAGGAATCAAAGGAGAACAAGGAAGGAGCACCAAGTACTTCTCAGCACAGGTCTTAGAACAGAGAATCCTCATTTTCCAAGTACAGAAATACCAAAGTGCTGGTCTGGCACACTCGAATCTCATGCCATTCATAATGAGTTTGCAGCCCTGAGCTGTAAGCACGAGCAGCAAAGACAGAGGGAACGCAGTGGTTTGACTTACCCCAGCTTTGATGTAGATGGGTACAAAGATCCATCCTAGAACCACCACAAATATCAGAGCCTGCAGCCAAGACAAGATCAGCTGAATTAGCCTCCTGCCTCTAGACACTGCTCCCAAAGACCATTTATCAGAGCCAACAGCAGCTAGAGATCACTGAAATCACAAAAACCTGGGTACTGCAGGGGTGTGGGGGGAGGAGCTTCTGCTCTGTCCTTTGATTCCCAGTTGAAAATCTGGGGATGGAATCTTGGCTAAAAACTTTATCAGGTATAATGCAGCCTGGGTTTCATGCTAGCTGTCCCAAAGCACACATGATCATGTATTTTCTACAAAACCAGCTGATTTCTTCGCACAGGATTGCCCTCTAATATTGAATTACAGCTGCACCAGTGGCACCAGACTGTCCCAGCTCTCTTCAGAGCAAGCCCAGGATGGTTGAATACTTTACAACAATTTCAAAGACTGTACAGAATGCACCACATGCAATTTGTAAAATATTTTGTATTTTCATATTGAAATTTAATAGTATTTTTGTGTGTCCATGTGTATTTTGTGAACTACTGATCTTACTTATAGCAATGCCAAGTTTTCTGACTGAAATGACTGGAATGCTGTCCAATATCGAGTTGTACATACTTAAACCAACAAATATAAAACAAATTGCTGCCCTCAGAGCTGCACTCTGTATTTATTTTGTCCACAGAGCTTAGAGCTTTTAAACTATATCATTTAAGTTCTGCCCCTAGGTCAAAACTGTAAGATGGAGGAGAAATACTGGATCAGCTTCTGCTGTTGTTCTGATACAAAATAGAAATAATTTGAATGGAACAGGGACACATAGGGATGACAACAGTCAACTTTGGTATTACTTTCATTACTTCTGTTATGTGTGTTAACTGTGCCACTGTAAGTCATGAGCTCTGCAGTGTCTCTGCTCAAACACCCATAGACATCATTGCTGCTTCCCAACCAACCACTGCTGTACACCGTGTACTGATACCGGTCCAGCAGGAATCTCGCAGGACAGAAAGTGTTAGAGATGTTTGCAGAAGGATATGGGGCCTAGAGATTTGTGTTCTGTTTTGATTTGCTTTGTTCTGCTGTAAAAAGAAGGAGAATCAGGTCTGTCATCGGCCTGAATATAATCAACAGGAGAGAGCTGACAGATAAACCACATATCTCGTATTCATTTTAAGCTTTGTCCTTTTCCTTAAACATTTATATCATACCAGTACTTGATTATTTGCAACAACCATGTATTTGCTAAGGAACACAAGCCAAATCCCCCAGGGTGGGAGGATCCTTTCGCTGCTCAGAAGTCAGTGGGAAGTACCGACCTGTGGAGGCTCATTCAACCCTTTGTGTCATGGCTAATTCCCTCCCCGAGGGTGAATTAGGGAGGTGAATTAGGTGAATTGTGTCGTTGTCACAACAAGGACATTGTCAGCCGCACCCACAGAGCCTGACAACACAAGGAAATGGGCTGCAGTCCTTCACGGGAGCCTCTGGGCTGCTGCAGTTTATACTGACCCTGGTACTCCGGGAAGCTCGTTTATATAAAAACGATATATTCCAGATATCTCTACCCTGTACTGGAACCATAAGGAAAACAAGAGCATAATTCCAGGAAGGAGAAGGTAAAGAAGAAAATATTTTCGGAATGCAGATGCTTGTGAAGGATGTTCAAAATTCCTTACAGCCTATGAAGAAATCAAAGCCCCTTCAATAATTTCTACATAGCAAAATGCTGCAAAAATTACCATGGATTACCTAATAAATTCTACCCAGCATCCTGCAGTCTGAAAATGTTGTTCACAAATACTTCAAAAGTAATAAAAAGACATGCATAGAGAAGAAAATCCACCAACTTATTTGGTTCAAATGCTCTCTAAAAAACCTCGACCGAAAAGTGTCACCTTTTCCAGTGGCTTAGACAGGTTAAATACTGGATTACATTGGCTCTTACTGGTCTGTGCAGAAAACAAGTGTTGCCAGGCAAAAACTTTGACAGTCCTAAATTATTAGGCAATGTTATTTCGATTAAGATCTGCAGATAATCCAGATGTCACAAGTATTTCCCTGACATATTTGCCACTTACATTCCACTCATATCCTCCGATGGCAATTCCTCCAGCTGCTGCTGTTCCTGCTATTCCCACAAAGTGCCCACTGCCAATGTTGCTGGCAAACAGAGAAGCACCAATCTGCAAAGAGGAAAAAACAAAAACTGGCTCTTATGTTTGTGGCAATTGCTAAAAATTCCCCTTCATTTGGCACATTGCACTCATGCCTATCTGTGGTGGTGGTGATGAGAATGACTGACACTCAACTTCCTTGACAGCTTTCAGGACTCCCACTTACTGCTCCCACTGAAACCAGAGCCTCCAGCCATCACATCTAAAATAGTGAAGAGGATGTTGAATAAAATATCTTCCAGTTGAGTCAAAAAATATATTACACCAATATAGATTTTAAAATGTTTGCAAAACTTGCCAAACTGGCATTGGGATGATATCCAGGCAATCAGGGAAGAAGACTGTGATTTTCCTTGTTCAAGGAGAGAATGACAGGGGTATCCCCACTTGTCAAACCTGCACTCCCTGTTCCACGTTGCACAGCCTGTGCATCCAAATGTGCCAGCTGGACTTGGTTCACTTTTAGCCAAAAGGTATTTGCTTACTGAATAAAATTCTGAAAGCTGCATAGCAGAGAAAATGCCTCTGGAAGAAAGAAGTAATAGTAAACCAAGGAATTAGAATTAAGGAGTGCTGGATCCTTAAGACCCCCAAATATTGCATTGATCATACAAAAAGAACAGTAGGGAGAACATGGGAATTGGTGAACAGGGAGAGATTAAAAAAATGAAAGGTTCCTCTTGGTTTACAGACAGGCAGGAGCCATTCACAAAGATCTAATTCTTAATCAAGTATCTTAGACAATAGAAAAGATGAAAAGGAATGAGCTTCATTTCCTCAAAATGAACACATTAAAAGGCTGCAGAAATACCCAGGGATAATTTACTGGATCAGGTACTGAATAATGCAGGGTGAGAAGTCAGGCATAAAAAAGAGGTTGGATTGGATTGAGTATTGCGGGCAAAAGACAAGGAAGCTGGAAAAGTTCTGAAATGGAAAAATGAAGTGAACAGTTTTTTATTATTTTCTATTTTTTCTTACATCCTCTGAAAACTAAAGCAACAGCAACAACAACAACTAGGATTAAAAAGAAAACCACATAGAAAGCAGGCAAGGGAATTCCTGCTGATGTCTTCTAATGCTCTCATTTGAATCATGGAATCTCCTGAGCTGGAAGGGGCCCACAAGGATCATTGAGTCCAACTGATTTGAATGGCAGCAAATATTCAATCAATATTTCTGGGAGCACAGGGATGGTCACCTGAGTTTTGGGAGGATGAAGGATTTCATCATAGAATTCCACCTCTGCAAAGCAGATTTATTCTTCAGAGCTATGGCATAGCCAGAAATAGCAACCACGCTCTTCAACCCACAATCCTGATCTCTCATAACAAATAGATTCTTCTCCCCTATTTTTATTTGCAACACACAAATAAAATTCAGAGGGCTCCACTCTTTCTCTTCCAGGCTTACTGTTCTTCTCTTTCCCAGTCTGATCTCCTGATTTCTTCAAGTCTTTTTCTGCAGACAAACTGTTCTTTTGCTGTGACAGCAAATTTCTGTTTCTAAGTTCACTTGGTTCTGGATTTGGGATTCTTTTTTTTACACATTTCTAAAAGCCAGTTGTGCCCTACAGAACTCTAACCAATTGATCATATGACATTTCTACAGGACTGATAAGTTTTGCAGCAAACATTGGCAAACAAAAGACCTCTGTTTCTTCTAACCTCTTTGTGACAGCAACAGTTTTCCAGAAATGATAGTGAAGCAAACAGTGCCACTTATACCAAGCATTAGCACTTTTGACCAATGCTTTCCTTGGAGATAAATAATTAAACTTAAATCTAGGTTACTAGAAATGCAATCACCAGAAAATATTAACAACATTAATCTCTGATTTTGTTTAATGTGTTCCCTCTCCTGTTTCAAAAGCTTAAAGGCAGATCCAAGTAACAAAAGCAGCTAAAGAAGAACTTTGAGAACTGACAGGCACAAGCTTTGGCTCAGTGCCTGAAACCCCAGGACATACTGCAGGCAATGCTGCTGATGCTGTGTCCTCAAATTTATCTAAAATAACATTGTGTTGAAAGAAAAATACAGAACCAAACCAAACCAATGCAAAACTACCAACGTATTCAGGACCAGCAGGAGAACAAAACAATGTGAATGCAAATCCCACATTCACATCCTATACTTTTTTTCTCTGAATTAGGGAACATCCATTGCAGCAGAACTTTAAGATCAATATATACTAATAATGGATGCAATTTTAAAAATAGGTTTCAGTTATGTCATATACCTGGGAAGGGAGAACATGTCTTCATAGCCAGAAAAATGCAGATTACCCTTAAATCTGCAGCACAGTCACAGCAAGAAGAGTGCTGACCAAATACCCTCACACACCATTGACTGCTGATGCCAGAGGGGAAAGAGAAATTTCCCATCTGTCATATTTTAAGGATGAGGAAAGAAGGTAGATGGGCTCTGGGCCCGAGCTGCCTTGCTGAAGAACTTACTGCTGTGGGATTTTGTACTGGAGAGGCTGATTACTGGAATTCTTGAATTGCCATTGGTAGATGCTGCTGAACAACTTAAAAACTCTGTGCTGAACTGGGAATAGCAGAGGAAAAAAAATCTTCTGGAACTATTCCCAGTGAATGTGTGAGTGAACTGACTTTAAAGACAAATCTAGGAGGAAAGGTGAAGAAAGTTGGTTGAAAGGGACAAAAGCTGCTAAGAGGGAAAGAGGATGAAAATCCTGAACTAACCTGAGGCAAACGTGGAACATTAACTTTTTAAATATATTTTAAGAGGTCAGGCCTTAACAAGAGCATTCTGTTCAGCAGAAGTAGCACCACCCTGAAACAGATGATGACCACTGTGGTTTTTCCTGTTATCCATTAACTCTTTCACCTTGCTCTTGTCATTAGGTGGAGGATGCAGTGACATCCCAGCCCTGGCCATTCCCAGCTGGGTGGATGCACTCTGCAGGCCAGTGGCAGCGTGCAGAATGCACAGCCTGTGCCTCCTCTCCCTGCCAGGACCTGCCCAGCACATCCCCCTGCCCCGGTGCCCACCCTCCTGAAGGCACCAGCTCAGTACCAAACCTTTCCCCACTGATCCTCAGAACAGCAGGGGATCCTCTCCCCACACAGGGTCACTCCTGCAGAAGCTGCTTCTCAAATCCCTCTTCCCTGACACATTTCTCATTCCTGCTCCTTGAGACTGTTCATGCTTTTCTTTAACTAACAGCTCTACCCTGAAATCTGACTTTACTCTGATGCAAAGGCATTACTTTTCCTACCTGAGTTTTTGGGGATCACCCTTAGTCACTTTGGAAAAATCAGTACAATGCAATGCCACACTTCCAAGGCCCAAAGCCTTGAGACCCAAAGAAGGAAGTGTGGGCTTTTATTCTTCTTTCCCAATTAATCTGAAAGTTCTGTGAATTGCATTATTACCCAATTAAGCCACATATTTACAATTCCCAGTGTACTAAGCAGGAGGGATTGATGTTCAATAATCACCAAAATGTCTGTGCTCCAACAAACCTGCAACAGCTCAGGCTCACAAGCTGTTTTGTACTCCCCACTTCATACTCTGAGACAGAAACACCTCCCAGCCAGCTGGAAAGTCTCATGGATTCTGTAGAAATCCATTTCACTGATTTCACTTTTCTATCAGAGCTTTGCTTTGATTACTTCATTTTTCTACTTTACCTAAGTAAAGGAAATTAAAATCTTATTCACAGCAGAATTGTTGTTCCTGGTTCCTCATAGCAGTGTCAGATTCAGCAAGTGGGCAGAATCTGAGGCAATGTAAAACTTAACTGGCCGCAGAGATCAGAGAAATCACGCCAGTGATCAGTTCTGATGGCCACAAAGATAAGCTGTGCACAGCTGAAGTAAGAATCTATTGGAATTTTTGCCCCTAATTCTTATCTGTCTGACAAAGATCTAAATGTACATGATCAGAAACAAGCTGAGTTACATTTCTCTTCAGAGTGCCCTTGACCCTGCACTAATGTTCAGTAAATCTTTTTAACAGAGCTGGCCTCCACATGCCCAGCAGATACTCTTTGTCCTATTACCATTCATGCCTCAGGAACTGAGGTGTAGAAGGTAACCCATAATTTTGTGCAGACAGCTCTGTCTGCAAAACTGCAGAACCTGAAGAAGAAAATTCAAAAGCAAGAAAGCTTCAAAAGTTTGAGGTTTTTTAATTGTGCATGAAGGGCTGTTAATCCTGTGAGAGTGGCTGCTACCAAACCTGATTGTTGTGCAGGAGCAGATACTTCATGTCCTACAATGGCAGGAAGCATTTGGCTGAACCCAACTCCTTCATCTGGCAAAGGAAGCTGAAGTTGGCAAGGCCCATTGCTAAAGAGCTGTCACTTGCCTTGAACTTCTCTGTGTCTTTTTGGAAAAAGCAGAGCTGAATATGAGGATTTAAAGAGCCATGAGTCTTTTCTGAAGATATTTCCCTCAAAGCCCAAGAGACCAAAAACAGTTTCTTGAAGATTCTTCTCTCAGTTTCTACAAGACGATGTAAAGGGCACAGCATTTCATAAGCATTTCTTACATTATGACTAACAACAACAGATTTCAGTTTCAGGTGATCTCTGAGAATGTTCTTATATCCCTTTATCCCTAATTAACCATGGAACTACTGAGATTACTCAGCCACTGCACAAGGACAGTAATTCCAGTGAAGTGAGCTCCCACCTCAGCCAGAAAACTGTCTCTGGGCTTGGTTCTGCAAAATGATGAACAACTTTCCTGGATTCTGCTGGGGCAGAACAATCAGAACCAAAGCAGGACAGATTTGGCCCAGGATGTGTCTTAGTCCTACTTTATACATTGAGAAATCTAATCACAATCAGTTTGCCAGTGACTGACAAATATTCAAAATCCATATTAAAAGTAGGAATAATCTCTAACCCTTCGTTACCAGGGTCTCCTCTAGTCTACCAAGATATTATATGGTTTAAGTGAAGAGAAACCCTTTCCCAGCTTGTCAGTAAGAGATCCCAACACACTGCTATTGAGCCTCCTTCCCTCTAGGGTATCAGAAAAGCCACTCCTGGGTGCCCTGCAGAGCATAGAATACAGACAACAACTGAAAAATACAATTAGTTTAGGGGAATGCAGTTTATACCAAGTTTTTGGAAGGATTTTTTTTCTTCATTTTGTTCTGTTCCAGAAAGCAATTACATGACAAGGGTCATTATCCTGAAATGCAGGGGAGAAATCTGACAAACAAGGGTCCACTTGCGAAACAACTGCCCCCACCCTGTCTGTGGAAATGCACTGAGGCTACCCAGGACTATTCCAGCTTATCCCTGACTTGGCACAAAAGAGAAGTCAAAGCACAAAGTAAAACATCACACACAGCTTTAGCAGATGCAGAGCTGAGTTCACATCTCTGACTAAACTTTCTATACTTTCATTGATTTCCTCACCATTTCAGCCCAGTTTGCCCTGGGTGATGGACATCCCATCTACCTGCTAAGCTGTGGGAATTGGTGTTTTGGAATCTCTTTTTATCCAAGGCAAACTTTCCAGGGTGGTGCTGCTGACATGGTATTTAGTTTGTGGTTTTGGAGTGCTTGCTGTTTGTTTATTTTGAGTGATACGAGGAAGAATAGCAAGAAGGGTTCATTTTTATGGCATGGGAAGCCACTCCTGGCATTCCAAAGGGAAGGATTGAAGAGGAGATCTAGGACTGCACTGAGGATTAGCACTTTGTCCATGCTGAGCTCACAGGGCCTGGGAAGGAGGGAGGGGATCCTGGCAGGAACTGTGGGGTGATCCCTGTTGGCTTCCCCTGGAGGAGGGAAGCTTGCTGGGTCTGTTGGGTTTGTGTTGGCAGAGGACTCGGGGTCAGATCCTCTCCCCCAAGTCTCAGGGGGATCATCATCATCACTGTCTTGCTCCAGTGGTTCTCAGTGCCACTGGAGCAAGACAGAACTTTCCTGTGGTGAGTCTTTGCTGCCTTGCTGCCTCCATCTCCATTTATATCTGCACAAAAGGATGTTCATATCCCCTTGACAGGCAGACAGAATGGCACAAGGTTAAAACCAGCCCCTGATTCAAGTGACAGTTAAATAGAGTAATCTGTTTGATTTCATCTTAAAATAACTTAGAATCTCTCTTTCTTCAATCTTCCAAAGGAACCTGAATTTTCTTAGCTCTACTACATCAGATGAAGAAATCTTTTACTATCATTGGCCTTTAATCCTTTCATGTCCTTAAAGAGGCTGTCCCAATGCCTTCTAAAGGCAGAGAGCTCTCTGAAGCACAGGACTGAAAGGTGTTTCTGCAGCCTACTTCAAGAAAATTCCTAAATCTTTAGGGAACCAATATTTACTCTCAGTCTTCTGGTCCTGTAACTGAATCAATGTGTGTGGAGTCTTGACTCCCAAACCTTAATGAAGTGCAGAAACATTTTCTGAGACTGAATGCAAGATCAGAAGTGTTGAGGAATTCCATTCAAACATGCTTTACATTATTCCATCTTCTGTATTCCAGTAATATAGAAAATGCAGGTTTGTCTAAGTTGTCTGCTTTTCATATTAAAGAGACTGTATGATCAGGAAGAAATAGATAATTGTTTCTAACATCATTTCTGCCAAACAGCCTGATGGAATGGATGGCTAAAAACACTTTGTAGCTTTGGCTCCTGTTCTCGACCTTGGAAGACAATAAAGATCCACAGAAGACAATCAAGGTAAGCCACAGCTAATCTTTAAATACATTTAAAATATATTTTACCAATAACATATCAGAACATTTCCAGGACTTTTTTCTCCTTATACAGATCAGAACTTGTTACCAAAAGTAGAAACAATAAAGCAATAAAGGGGGAAATTTCAGTAAATTAATTCCTGTCTGTGACAACCTTAAAGTGAGCCAGCTTCTTTAAATGCAATTAAAAGAATGGAGTCCAAATGTTGAAAAGTTTTAAAGTGGGATGAAAGGCAAAGCACTGGATTTGTCTGTACTGACATTACAAGTGTATTTATATTCAAAGTTGATCACATAATCAAGACAGCTCAGACAACTTCCCCCAACACTCTTCCCTGCCCATCCCATGGCTCTGTTTGTGCACCTGCCCTGTGACCCCACGGCTGCAGAATGAGTTGGGATTTGCAGCCACACAAGAAAGCCACACAAGAAAGCCACACAAGAAAGCCACACAAGAAAGCCACCACAGCCTCAGCAGTGTCCCAGGGCTCTTGGTGGAAGGGCTGGACAGAGCCAGGCTGCAGAGGCACAGCCTGGCTTTCCTCCCAGCACACAGCACTCACCGGCCACCAAACCATGCTCCGTCCAGCCAGGAAAAACCCGCCCACCGTGCCTCGGTTGGTGGAGTACATAGCCTGGAAAAAAGGGAAAAAGAAAGCTTTAATCATATTTCAAGTGTACTAGACAAGCTATAGACAGGCTGAGAACAAACAGCTAGAATGAAGGGATAACAAAACACACAGGCAGGGTAAAGTGAAAGAAAGGGTGGCTAAAAAGAACAACCTTACGATGAAGAAAATAATACAATGGAACAATGAATCTTTTATCTAGGTCTACATTAACCATTCAAATTTCATTCCTTCACCTTTCATTATAGTGTGAAACACTAGATATAATTAAATTTAACCAAGAAAAAAATCACTCAAGTAAAAGCTCACATGAATTTTTTGCTGGGGTGAAAAGACTTTGCTTTCAGGCATCAAAATAGACTATTAGATGCAAGTTTATTATCAGAAAGTGTGCAGCTTTTTTTATTCAATACTATCCTGCCCCTACAGGTATCTGTTTTCTTGTTGTGATATGGGCATTGTACCTGATTCCCTCTGGAGTTCCAAAAGAAGAAAACACCTAAAATTTCCTTTTTACACACTCATGTTGTCTTTGTCAAGGGATGGGCTTTAAAGGGAAGTTTCTTCCAATTTTTATTAATGACCTTGAGCCATTATTTACTGAATTTCCATTGTCATCTCTGATGGACTTTGAACAGGTAAATAAAGGAAGAAGACCTGGGAAAATTATCCATATATTTTCTTCCAATGCAGAAGAAAGGAAGTAAATATGATGGATTTACATTTAACTACACACAGTAACTGTGTGTACTGTAACTGAGTAAGTATTTGTCCAATACCGGTGTCTTCATGTCTGGAAAGAAAAAGCTCCAGGAATTAACTCAGCGCACAATGGCTGAGAAGCCAGAGATCAGCCCCTTATTGTCAGAGACCTTTAACATGAAGTTCAACCACAGCAACAGCCGGTAAGACCCAGCTCCCTCCTGCCAGCAAGGTGTTCTGGTGGACTGGGGCTTCAGATTTTTAGCTATATTTTGGCCTCTACTCCTGTGCTGAAGAGGCAAAGAAAAGGTTGTGTCCACTTCGTGCAAACTGTAAATTGGTGGTGCCCCTCAAAATATCGCCAGACTGTTAGAAAAGGATGTTTGTTCTGCAGCTGACTTTTCTGCACTGTGAAATGTTCCTGGGATGCTCCTGGAAAGCAGAGAATTCCTGAAGGGCAGCTCCTGCTCTCTGCTTGTTACTGGTCAGGCGTTCAGGTGACCAGGAGGGCTTGCCCCAGGGAAACCCGAATTCAGCGCCGTTCCCCGGTTCCCCCCATTGCAGCTCAGGGCATCGGCCCATTCTCTCAAACGCTTCAGCTCCGAGGTCCCGGCGCTGGGAGCTGCTTTTCTCCCCGGGCTCCCGGGGCTTCGCTTCCCGGGGCTCCGGGCTCCCCTCGCAGCGCTGCC